CTGAGAGAGATTTTGATCTTTGCTCTGTAGATGTGCCTCTATGTCATGGGCCTGGACCCAAGGGCAGGGCAGATGTGTCACTATACCAGAGGCCCTGTTGGCGCCATTCTGGTAAAGCACAGCTCTGAGACAGGGGGCTGGAAGCTCATCTCTCCAGTGGCTCTGTCTTACCTTGTCTTGGTCACATGGTAGGAGTTTATACTGAACATTTGACACCAGGTCCTGAGGGGACCAAGGGCCCCTGCCATCCTATTCTGCCTCTCTTGTCATGTGTGGTATGGATCTCAGCTCCCTGGTAAGCCCATTACCACCATGATAGGAGAATCTGAGCAGTGCCTACCTTTGCTAGGCAGACACTATAGCCCTTCCCACTCAGTGTTAGCAGAGGTACTGGTAAAGGCTGGGGTAGGTGAGCTGGCTGGGTAGACCTGGGTTAACAGGATTCCTTCCCTGGCACTGGCTAGGCAGACTAAACACAGTTAAGAAGCCCCTTCCCCTGCTGTCATACTGCCATTTCCCACATCCACAGCATGGCTTTCCTTAGACGCTTATGTTTGGGGCAGTGGCTTGTCCTGGATTTGAGGTTTCAAGGGCTCACTGTCCAGGATGCATGTGTGGCAGTACAGAAACACAGAGGACTGTCAGCTCACTGTCCCCAGTCCTGCCTTACCTCAAGTTGGCCCAAATAGCCATATCTACACATGTAGAAGGGCCTGAAAGGAGAGGCCACCTTTGACTAGAAACTAGATGTGAAACCCTACTCAGCCACTGGTATCTCACACTAGCTATGACCCACCTCCTTCTCAAGAGAGAAAGCAGGCCTCTGGGCCAATACCCTCAGGTAGGACAGGGTCACTCGCTGCCAGGTAGATCTAGAGTTCTATTGATGCTGGGCCTCCATTGCTCACCCTTACTTGGCTCTGGCATACACGTGGCATGTACATGCCGGGCCAAGAAAAGAGTAGACACTAATCTTCAGGGTTACTAGTGAAATAGCTCACCTGGTGACACACAATCCAAATCCACAAAGGAGACAGGCATGTGTCCAGCTACTCAGAACCCACTCCTAATACACACAGATAGCCTAAAAGGTATGAGAAAAATCACAAAACACTCCAGTCTCCCCAAGGATGGCCAATGTTCCTATATCCCCAGAGCTTGGGGAAGCCCACGTGGGCTGGCAGGAGGTAGACAGTGTGGCTGGGAAATGGAGGGGCTCCAGAGTGTGACTCACAAGCACTGGTGCAGACACGCCAGCTTCTGGAATTACTGACAGTCTATCCAGTTGCTAAACCCACAGACTATACTTAGGATTTGCCAGAGCTGCTATTTGACAGCAAAAAATAATGAACCCAGATTTGTTCCAGTTGATAGGACTTTCAGCGCCTGTGCCACGATCCACACCAACGCCAACCTGTCTTTCTTGCCAAAAAGACGCTGTGATGGGATAGGTGTGGCTAACACAAATGGAACAAGGTTTGCCTACCTTCTTATGTGTGGAGAATACACCTACGTAAACATGCATGTGTGTGAGCCACCCTCATCCTCATAGTGCCCATGCTGCTGGCACCAGCCCTGGTCCTAGCAGCTCCTCCACAGGAGACCATAGTCATGGTCAGAGGTGAAGGGAGGCTCATGAATACAGGACTCTCACATCTACTTCAGAACCCACTCCTTCTCAGCATGTCCCTATAGGAACTACAGGAAAAGTTCTTCCTTCTTGGAAGGAGAAGGGTAAAAGGGAAAAAAGGCTTTGTGAAAAAAGAGCCTTCTCTAGGCGCCAGTATCTTTTACAGCTGCAAGGAGAGCTCACTCTGAGGGCTCCAGTCTGACACTGCCAGTGTCCACTTTGGGAGAACTGTAGCAGCTATGTCTGATAGTTGAAGTTATGGGCTTTCAGGGGGAAAAGGGGGCATGCTTCTAAACCAGGAGGGCTGCCTACAGTGTCTGGAAGGAAGGAATATACCCAGAAAAGTGAGTACAGAACCAAGATATATTCACCTGGTTAAAGACAACTGCAAGCTACAAATATGAACATCTCTTGACCACTGAATCTGTCAAGTGACACAGGTAGAAACTGGACAGGTGAGGTAGCTGCACAGTCTCTAGTACAGCCTGGGACACAGGCTGACCAGATTCTGGTAGTCAAGAGCAGTCTCCAAATCAGATGGCAGGCCAGGAAACTTTGCTCTTGGTTTGAAAGTGATCAGTGATGAAACCCACTTAAAACTTTTTTTTTCTTTGTTGGGGCTTCAACTCTGGGCCTGGGCACTGTCCCTCAGCTCTTCAGCTCAAGGCTAGCACTCTACCACTTGAGTCACAGTGCCACTTCCAGTTTTCTGGTGGTTTACTGGATCTAAGAGTCTCACAGACGTTCCTGCCTGGGCTGGCTCTGAACTGTGATCTTCAGATCTCAGCCTCCTGAGTAGCTAGGATTACAGGTGTGAGCCACCAGCATCCGGCTCCCACTTAAAACTTAAAAACCAAACAAACAAACCCCCAAAGCTCTGCACCAGTGGCTTACATCTGTAATCCTACCTACTTAGGAGGCTGAGATCTGAGGACCATGGTTCTAAGCCAACCTGGGCAGGAATTATCTCTAATAAACTACTCAGGAAAAAAAAAAGTCAAAAGTGGCGCTATAGGTTAAGTGGAAGAGGGCTAGCCTTGAGCACAAACAGGCTCAGGGACAGAGCACAGGTCCTGAGTTCAAGTTCCAGGACCAGCAAAAAAAAAAAAAAGTAAAACAAAAGTAAATAAATCCAAAATTTTGTCAGCCTACAATTCTGACATGCTTGACCATGGTCCTGTCAACTGTAGGAGATACTACAATCCCTTCAAAGCCTGTCTGCAAGAGAGCTGAACTGTGTGTATGCTGTGTATATATGTATGTATACATGAAAATGTCTCTGTACCCTTGGCCAACACTCTGGGGCTGCACCTACCAATCTCTCTATCCACCACCTGAGGACCCAGCTCTCAGGGTCTGGTGTTAAGAGTTTGCCTGCCTCACATAGCATTTGGGACCCTACAGGATGAAGGACCAATGCTACCAGCCCCTGGCATTCACATAGCTTGGCATGCTATTGGAGAACTTGCTCCATGGGTTGTACCTCCTGTAGCAGACACAACTTGAGCATGTCTGCTTTCATTGTTGCAGCCTGCATGACCTCACTGGGAGCCCTTCTGACTACACCTTCAAGTCTCACTTACCCATCTCCTGTTCCCTGAGCCCCCAGCCCACCCTTTTGTGTGGTAAGTGTCTTCATCACAACCCAGGCCATTCTGCATCCAGTAGGTGTGGGAGGCATTTGCTTATTATCTCTGCCCAGGAACAGCCTTTTCAGCTTCGATGGGTGTTGCACAGCAAATGCTTACCCAGCACTTGGACAAAGAATGGCTGTCTGCCTTTGCCAAGTTCCTCTGCCCAGCCCTGGTGGCAAGCGATGCTTGATGCCACAAATTGGATAATGTCGCTCTTCTACTTTAAAAGATCTAATGGCTTCCCATTGCTCACAGGATAAAATCCAAAACCCCAGCCAGAGCTGTCCTGGGCATCCAACTCCCCTGCTGAAGCAGTGGCTTCTCACCCCAAACACATCTTGTCAGCTCACAGCCACACAAAGATGCACGTCCTGGGGGTCCTTGTCCCCCCAACACCTGCTCTCATGGCACCACTGAGCTCCTCTCCATCTGTAATTACAGACCCATGATTTGCTGTGAATAATGGTCCCCAAATCCCCATTAAACCATGAAAGGAAAGAAGACAGGGTGTATATCTTTGCTTCCCATTCTATCACTCCTGGTACTCAGCCCTAACATGGTGCATGTGACATTGGATCAAGTACAAACAACCAGCAGGTCCCCACAGGACTATTTATAAGGCCTGATCTATGCATGGGGAATGTTCTGGAAATGAGAGGATCCTCCAACTTTGAAGGGACCTAACTGGTCCACAGAACACTTTCTGGCCTGGCTGCTGGGCAAGAGGCATCACAGGCCTCTTCTTGCCGTTATCTCAATAGCCTGCTAAACACATTTCATCTAACTTTACTGACAAACAGAAGGAACCTGTGGAGAAAGCTACAGAGCTGAAGCCACTCCAGCAATGGCCTGTTGGGGCCTCCGCTGCCCAGCCTAAAAGGGCCATGCTATCCCAGTTCCATACCACTCCACAGTGTCCACTGGTCCTTATTGGTCCTCAGGTTCTATCTCCTTTAGTAGCTGCCAGGGTGTGAGTTCCTGGACACCCAGACCTGGACACCCAGACCAGGCCACATCTGCCCTGTCCCATCCCTGATTACTGTCACTTACAAAATGGGGGGTGGGGGATGTGGCAGCAGCAGCCTGTCTACATCCTCCTCACTCAGGGATGGCAAGGCCAATGCAGATTACAACAGATGAGCTGGAGGTGGAGCAGACTCTGCTCTGCACTAGTGCAATGTCTCTTGAAGGCTCTGATTCATTTATTGATGAGGGAAAACAGAAACAAGTCTCAGGAAGACCCTCAGGCCAAGGCCTCTGTTTACTGAGAATCTGGGGTAGTCAGGGAGGGGAGAGGTGAAGGGCAGGCTCTGGAGAAAATGCAGTGGCTGAAAGCAGGCTCTACAGGAGGCCAGAAGGTTCCCTGCTGACATGCTGTAAGCACTGTTGACTGTTGCTTCTGAGCAATTCCCTGAAAAATGCTTGTATGCATCCTCACACACCACTGCCCAGAGCTGGCATGCAGACGGGTCAGGCTGCTGGCAACCAAGGCATCCCCCCAGATGTCCTGACAGGGTGGATGCTGAGAGAGCAGCTGTCAGAGCTGGCTGTGGAAAGGGATGCTAGGAAAGACCCAGCCCAATGGAAACAAGTAGCTCTGGGAGAGGAATTCAGGTGTGTAGAATATGCCTGAAAACTCAAAAGTCCTTCCAGGAGGCAGGGAGGAAAAGGCTTTAGCTGCTCCAGGGGAGCCAGGTGGGGGCAACAGTGACAGCCCAGAGGAGTGAGGGGCATACCTGAGTGCATCCACTTCCTCTCTGCAGAATGAGAAGCTGGGTTCTGTGGAGCTTGGCTGGGACTTCAGCATCTTCAGCTCCATCTCCAACTGCGAGGAAACAGAGTGTGGAGTCAGCAGGGACTGGGCTAGGAATGCCTGCTGAGAGCCAGAGGCCCAGGACCCTGCCCAAACCCGCTTCACAATCCAGACCAACTGGGCATTCTAGCTCATGCACACATAGTCCTTTCCCCCGTCCCCCAATGCTGTTTGTACATTGATCATAGAGACACATGGGCACCTGGGAATGCTGAGACCTTTTACAAAATTTCCAGGGCAGAGTGGGACAGTGTAACTACAGAGAGCTCATTCTCAGCTCAGGTAGAAAGAAGAGCTTCTTAGAGCCCAAGTCTTACTCCTGTGCTGTCCCTCTGTCCAACCAGGTATATCTCTAAGCAGATTCCATGACACCAATGCTGAAGCCTAGAAACAGCACTGAGGCCCCAGGACCTTGCCTGCAGATAAGGCTCTGGTCAGTCCTCAGCCCAGCGCAAAGGCCCCTTAGCTATCCTATGCTCCTACAGATGTGATCCCTCAACCTTGGGCTGTCCAGCCTGCAGGACCACAAGTCAAATAACTTCCTGTTCTCTCTAAAGTACTCTGTTTCAGGTACCTTGCTACAGCCACACAAAATGGACCAGTTTGGTGAATTTTAGTTGCTGCTGCTTCCATTGTTCACATACTGATACTGACATCAGCTAGTGTAGCAAATCCATGATGTGTACAAGTGTGCATGGCACAAATGTTTGTGCAACCTCTGTGGTTATTGCTGTTAACACAATTCTCCCTTCTAAACATCCACATATGACACTGTCTCCTCCCTGTCCCAGGCATCTGGGCCTTGCTGAATGCACTTCTGCTGTTGTTTTTTCCTTTTTCTTTTTCTTTTTTTTTTTTTTTTTGCCAGGGATGGGTTGCAAGACCTACTGTGTCTCTATAATAAGTGGTCCATTTAGAATTTCCCTCCATCTAGAATCAATATTAGTGAACCATTTTTCAGGAACATATAGTCTACTTCAGATGCTTGCATGTACTGAAAGGGATCTGTGATAAAATTCATACTTTGAACAGAGCTCAAGTAAAAACCTTATTTTATCTGTTAGTTAGCTAGCCATGCAGGCAGGGCTCTGTGAAGGCTAAATCTTGGGCAGATGGCTCCACCCATGTGGCCCTGCCATCACAGATGTGTCCTTATAACAGTACCAGAAGCTCTCACCTCACCTCCATCCAAGAGCTCCAAGGTCTTCAGTTCTGCTCCTTTTCTGCTAGTCCCCTGCTTTGATCTCTACAGGTTCCTACTTTCTGTCAAACTGGGCTTTTTCCATTTTGAGTCTGACTTCTACAGCTAGGCCTTCAGTTCGTATATATTTATGCATTCTTATTCCATAGCATAACAGTTAAGCCTTGAATTCGGATGTTTCTACTTGCTCCAATGAGAAGTGTTTTCATTAGCCTAATGAAATAATACACTAATAAAACACTAATAATAGAATACTAATTGCAATAATTACCATTATTTTACGCTTTGAATTGCATTTCTTCTTCAAACCAGGAATTGTTTAGGACAGAATGTTTCGTTCTGCCTGTCATGGATTTGTTTCCAAGTTTCCAAGTGCTAACAGCTTTTTCTTTTGTTGGTTTTGTTCTTGCTTTCAAATTACATCACATCTTAGCCAGTGGAGGCTCTGTCAATCCCATATACTTGAATTTACAAAGGTTTATAAAGGTTATTACTAAATAGTTGATTAATCCTGAGCATTTTCTGTAAGCACTGTCTAAAGAGTAGATTATCTAGTTTGGAGACAACAGCTACATACTGGTGTGTTATGACCCACATTAGAAACTAGATTCCTGTTGCAGGTGCCCCAAACCTTGCCCCTCCCCTTACTCTGTGTTCCATCTGCACCTTTAGTACTTAGCAGAGCATTTGCCTGTTATCTGCAATGCTTAGAGGCTTGGATTCAGACTGAAATGCCTGCCTGTGTTTATGACTGCTAGGTGGCCTTTGAAGCCTGCAACATCTAGCCTCTTCAGTTTTGCTCTGTAACTACCAGAAAGTCTTTTCCTTTCAGTAGGAAAGTTTAGCCCATTTATATTTTGATATATGTCTTTGTGTTACATTCTTATGTTGCTTTACAGTTTTTAAAACTATTGTTCTGTGGTCTTTTTATCTTGCCTACTTTTATGTGTCTCAGGAAATTCGGAAGATTGTACTTGTTGTACTGACCACTTTCATAACTCCTCGCTTTTTATCGTACCTGCGCCCATACTTTGTGGTTCTCTACTGTACTAGTATCTATGTCCTATCCAGCGTCCTATCCAGTCAGATCTGTGCATCCTATCCAGTCAGATCTGTTATTTCCTTGTGCTTTATACAGACTGCAACAGTTCTACATGTCCACTTGTTGTGCAGGTATGCAAATGAAACCTGGTGTCTTGGGTGTGTCTGTGAGGTGTGTTTGAGTCAGTGTCCCCAATAGGGACAGCATCACCTCAGCTCTTCAGGCTGACAGGACAAAGGGCCAGGAAATGAGGCTCTTCTTCTGCCTGCCTTGCTGCCTAAACCAGGACATCTCTCCTTTCCTCCTGCCCTAGAGGCTCCTTCCTCCACATATTGCCTTTCATCTCTGACCTTAGGCCTCACTCACATTGTCTTTTATCCTAGGCATTTCTGGCCCTCTAGCTTGCAATCAGTCATGGTGGGTGGGTCTTCTGGGCCTCCATACCCCTGTCAGCCAATCCCCTACAATCAGACACTCCATCTCTTTATGTAGACAGGTAATAAACAGACAAATCTTGGTTCTGTTTCTCTGGAGAGCTCCAAGACAGTTAAGTACACCTTGATGTCCTCTATAGGACATTTTATACTCAGCTATCAATAGTGAGAAACAAGTTCTTGGTCTTATCCCTTCCTGTCCTATCTTAACACCCTTTACAAAACGTATCTTACAGGATGTGTGGTGTTTATGTTGCTATTTTCCTAAATTCCCATAGATACAGCACTCACTGAATGGCAGCCATTTCTTCTCCATGTGCTCCTTAATCCATCTTCCTTCCTGATCTTCCATCTCATCTCCTGCCCCTGGCCTGAGACTTCTCTCTGCCTCACATTGCTCCTCTGAGTGTCTGCACTGGAGGTCAGCCTTCACATTCTCCTGGAATCCAGCTTTCATTTCTTAGCAAAACATAAAGATAAAAACTTTGTCTACTCCAGGCTGACTTCTTTTCCTCTTCTGTTTCTCTACTTCTCTGGAGTTTTGGCCTCATGAACTTACGTGACATGACCTTTACTGCTCACCACAGAAGGTAATGCCTGTCAGATCCAATTCTGTGCTGGAGGTCACACTAGGGAATGACAGAGCTATTTCTTTCCTCTGATCTAACCCAACATTTCTGCTGTAAGTTCAGTCAGAAGCACTATTTCCTTCATCAAGAGTACTGTGAGAACTCAGAGACACAGCCACTCCAGTGCAGCATGCATGGATTCCACGTGCAGCTCTTCTACTGTTCCGTGAACCACGAGGCAGCATTGGGGGTGGGGAGGAACTCTCCTGAGGACTGTACCCTCTACTCTCCAACTTCCCATTTTGGAGGCAGGCTCAGGCTTTGCTCTAAGTCGTTCTCAGAGCTCTGCTATGGCAGCAGCACACCCTGGCTTCTCCGTGTGCATACCATGTCCACATGCTCTAAACATCACTCTTTCACTCAGGCCATCTGCCTCCCTCCCACTGGCAGCTTGGGTTTAGTTAGCTCTATTTCTGTCTGGCCAAAATTTAAGTTTGCCATTTTGGTTTCATTCTTCTTGTTATTTCTGGATGATTTCCAGCAAAGAAGTGGAAGTGCTGCTGTATGCCACGTGTTCAAAACAAACAGTGAGCCCTTTTATTTTAATCTATAAGCCAAGATTCCTAACAAACCCTGAACTTTAATCTCAAAGGGCCAGTTCTCTGCCTGAAACCTCTGCCAAGCCCCTGGCAGCCACCCAGACACACTACAGGCCCACCTACCCTCTCCCTATCCTACTCCTCAGTGCTTGCTCATTCCCTTGCCATCCACAGGACAGTGACTGACACAAGGGAAGACAGTTTTCCATCTATAGCTCCTCCTGCCTAGCTCCTTAGATCCTTGGGAACCATTTCCTCTAGGCTCTGTGTGGCACAGGCAAGGGAGTTGACAGTGTTGGAGCAAATGCTTAGTGTGTCTGCCTGCATCACTCCATTTAAGAAATTACTTAAGCTGATATGCTTTTAAGGGAGGCCAGGCCAGGCAGGCTGCTAGAGATGATGTTAGAGTAAATCAGACTTTGCCAAAAAACCACAAAGACATCCAGGTACAAAGAACAAAGAAAAGGTTTACTGCCAGTAAAGGGACAAGAAAGACCCCTCTCATATGCGAGAGGGGTGAGAAGAAGTGCGTGCTATTGTTTCAGGTGATTTTTATGACCTCTGAGATTTGGGAAATCTTGTTGCCTTACATGGTTATAGCTGCCCCAAGGGAGTGCTCTCTCAGGTGACACATGACCTATGAAATTTAGAGGATCTTGCTGCCTTATATGGCTGTAGCTATTCCAGAGGAGAGCTCTCTCAGGGAAAGGGGTAGGGGGCTAATCATTTACTGCCTTTACTATATGGCCTAGTATTGTCTATGAGAGAGGAGGCTTCTGGGCTAACAGACATCTGGGAATGGCTCCAGCTAGCTATTGTAGCCAGAGCCACCCTAAGGAAGCTCCAAGGTAGGACCATGGCCCTGCCTCTCATGCCTTTCTCAGAGAAAGCCTGGGAAGGGGGAGAAGCTGGACACAGGTAATCATGTACATTCAGACTACTTCTCCATTCCTCACCTATAAGAAGGGATAAAGACCACCCATCCATGAGGTGGGAGACCCTAGATTACAGTGCCCACCTCAGGGCACTGCCCACAGCAGGACTGTCTCATACTGTGCCTACACAGCTTACAACTGGACCTGGCCTCCCTGTTGGCTGGTGGCAGAAGGAGACTCAGCCCCATGGCAGCCAGCATAAGCTGACCCAAGATACTAAGAGTCAGCTCAG